AGAGCCACATATGAGGATATTTCTTTAAAATTTTGATAGAACAGTTGCAATATAATGTCCTCGTAAGTGGATATCAGGCCCTTGTAGAGCAAAATTGAGTATTTTGGTCTAAATAACCCAAAATGTGATGTCCACATATGTGGACGCCAGGTCCTAGGAGGTTAAACAAAATATCCCTCTATTCACCTGTTCTGTATATAATACAGGAATGATTAATAGCAGCCACAATACATTTACGGTTACATAAAATTTAGCAGTACTTGCCACAGGGTCCACACAATCCTGGTGGTCATCAAAAACATCTTCAGCTTTACCAGAGCTAATTATTATCTGCTTAGATATATAACATAGATACAGATTTATTTGTAATTCTTCATTCTTTACATTTTGGTAACTGTTCAGTTATGTGTGGGCAACATTCATTAAGCAAATGCATTCACAGGGGTAGGACGAACTGAACGTTATATATATTAAAATCAAGAGAACTGGTATTTAGAATAAATCTTTTTAAAAAGCAAATAGATGTTACTAATCACTGCACGGGTTCATACAAAGTCTTGTTCAGACTGCCGCATTCGTTTAAGGACGAGATAGGCTGCATGCAAGCATACATACACTTTGATCATTATAGTGCTGAAGATAAGAGCCCTCGTGTTCCTCACTTCATCTGCTGCTTACAGCAAACTTTTATGTTCTCTTTCCTCTGATTTAAACCTTCTTTCTTCTGATTGGCTGCCCCTCGTAAGTAGAATGTGGGTCTGGCTACTGTGAGCTGACCTGTGTGACGGAGGTCTATGTTGCTGGTCTCATTAACTGAAACTTTGGCAACATTTATTTTGGTGCTTGTAACGGAAAATATGGAAAAGCAAAATAGGCCACCTCTACAGTTTCTAATGGGATAATAAATTGGGCCAAAATAATGTATCAAGATTGCTGCAAGAAAAGGCAAAAAATGTATAAATGAATTGACATTGGTTCAGTTCACATATTTTATAGACGCACACCATATGGGCATAGCTAGGTATTTGGTTTTCCTGACATTTCTCGAGAAATAACTCTCACACATTGTTGAATATCAATGACTGAGGGGTGGGACACACACATTAATAAAAGGGTGATTGTTGACAATGCCCCGAGTAGGCAGAGGCATGGTTGGAATTGTGCTCCCATCTCAATACTGCGATTAAGACACTCACTGCTTACATATCAGCTCCGCTCTGCTCTAACATAATTCTCAAAGGCGAATTCTTTTGTCATGGTGCACAGGAGACGGCTAACCTAAACCAAGAGCCCGAATCATTAAAGGAGCCAGAGAGGGTGACTCCAGTCTCCAGTCCCAAGGAAGAAAACGTTCCTGAAACTGACAACGGAGACAGTGAGCCCGTGGAAAGCAAAGAGGAGAGTAACCCAGAAGAGAATCCAGTTATGAACTTCTTCAAAACCCTAGTAAGTGGCATCATTTGGCAATTTAAGCTGACTTTTTATGCTCCTGCTATTTCTGTTTATCATGTCAAATTAGACTATTTGGGGGGAAAGGGAAAGAACACATGTACTTTTTATCTGCCTCTTTTTCTGAAGAGAAACAGGCAAAAAAACAAAAATAAAATGAGGTTAATGCGTCTTCAAGTCGTGCCCCAGTCAAAGTGAGATGTGTGGTCATTTTTCCAATCATTTAGCAGTAATATGTAGTAATACGCTTGAAAATGTTTCATTAGTTTGTGAATTTTTTTGAATTTTTTTGTTCTATGTAGTGATAGGGGAAGGCAGTATAACTGTATATGACATTAAGTGCAACCATAGCGAAATCTGCCATCATGACAGTGCCAGATGGAAAAGTTGCAACAAGCAGCTATTGTATTTCCTCTTCATCATGCTGCCTTTTGGATTCATGCCGTTTTAAAGAGTTGCCATTGCCCTAGCCCCATGCTAATCAAGTCTTTGAACATGCGGGAATGTGGTGGCCTATTGTTCATCCCATAGTGTGAGCTCACAAGGGAGGCCTGTGCGGTTGGAAGTCGAGATTTGTGAAGATAGAGCGAGGGCAGGCCTACGCCATCTCCGGAGCACAATGGCTGTCACAATGGCAGCGCATGTACTGTATGTGCTCTGTCAGGGACCTCTGTGGGCCTCAGTTAGCTTACCATAAAGGCCTATGTCTGCATTCATGAAAGGCTTCTGTTTTATCCAAATAATTATTTTTCTGTCTCATCAACTGTATCCCCCTGGCACTTTGCTTTTCACACTGCTTAACCGCCACATACATAGTGCTCCACAATGCTTACACAGTTCACATTTAAAGATTACGATTTTTTTCTCTTGTGTTTTTATGTGGATCACGGCACAAAAAATAAAGACGGTTCATTTTTTTATTCCTCTGTTGCACAGGTGACCCCTACTAAAACGTCCAAAAAGGAAACGGCTACTCCCGATGCCGCTAAAGATAAGGTGAACAGAGGTTCATTTTAACCTATCACTCTCTGCTGCTTTTATCAAACCATATCTCTGATTGTCTAATACAGAAGCTATACAATGAGCTGTCACACCCTCATCTGTTTTGTTTCTGTTGCTTGAACTAAGGATGCTCTTGAATTTAAAAAGTAACATTTATTTTTAAAAGGTGGTTTATTTTTGCAGAATTTGTGCATAAAGCTTTTTTTTTTTTTTGCATCCTTTGTTTGCTTCAGTTTAACCTTTTTTTTTTTTTTACAAATGCTTTCTTTTCTGTTGCAAAATAGTCCCAGAAGGAGACCCAACCAGCGGCAACCACTACTGTGAGCATATAACCCATAAGTTTTGATTCCCATAACCATAATCTTGCACTTCACATTAAATGTATATATTTACTACACACGGTGGGTTTATTTAATTTCCAGATATGATGTCTTATTTGCTCATTTTACATAGCAATGCATTTTTATTGGGTGAAACTGGAAGGAAATACAGTTGCTGATATCATATCTGACAAAACTGCTACATCAAAAATGTCTTTGCAGTTTAAGAGGGCTGTGTAAACCATTGCTTTAACAGCCCCTCTCTTACTTCAATAGGTTGCACAAATATCTGAACCGCCTGCAGCACCCAAAGGAATGTCTGTCCCACCACCCCCACCTCCAGAGCCGCCGAAAATGGAAATCAAAGGAGAGCCAACTGCCAAACCTGTAAAGGCCTCGGTGAAAGAAGAACCTAAAGCTGCTGGAAAGGCTCCTGTGTCCTCGAAAGGAAAATCAGCCAAAGATACTCTGAGCAAATTTTTCCGCCAGAAGGTAAACAAACAGCTTTAACTGCAGATTACAAGATCCAATCACTATTTTAAGGAATAGCTATTCATGTAGACACTCACTGCATGTTCAATGAGAACACAGTGTGAAACATACCGTATGTCAGTTTGAGGTATTGCTAGGAGTCAAGACCTCCAAAAGCAATGGCGCTTCAGCAAGTGGAGCCAAAGCCCCGGGCAAGACTGCAGCAGTGGTACAGTAAATGATCATATTCTCAAACTGACCATGGCTCATCAGTTACTAACCGAACAAGAGCTCATTTGTCCAGAGGCACCAGAAATTTGCAATTTACTGTTTCCTAATCGGAGCTATAGTTTTGTGAAGTAGCATTGGTCCTGTGCTGAAACCTTTTCTCTTGGGAGAATCAGGTTTTCTTATTTGTTGAGAATAAGATAAGAAGAATGACGTCGTCCTTACGTTTTTGCATAATACATAAAGACAAAAATAAAAGATCGTAGCTTTAGCATAAGGAGCAGAAGCAGGGACAAAGGGCTAACAAGGCTCATTAGCACCCACCAGCACCACAAATGCTCACCCACAACACTGCATCTCCTTTCTTTTAACCGCACTGACCGTTAAGTCACATTTGCATCACTGTGAGCTCAACGAGAAGCCATTACATTTAGCTGCTGCCCAGAGAAGGTGTTATAGGGCATAACTACAAGTTTCTGTAGAGCCAAAATAAACAACACGTGTATTTCAAAATAAAAAAGGCTTTAATTTACAAGATCAAATCGTTATGTTGTTACATTTTTGAGCATCCGTGTTTTGTTTTGTTTTTTTCTTGCTGGATTTTGTCCCATATTTAAACACAGATCAACCAATTCAACCCAACACCTTTCATTTACATACTGAAGATGTACAAGCTGCCAAGACAGCAATAAACAAAAAATAAATAAATAAAAAGTTAGAATGAACAGACAAACAACATGAAGAGGGTAGAATTTCCAACATACATGCGCTAACAGTAAGTGGAGGAAAAATTAATTGCTATCTGAAATAATTAAAAAGACAAAATGTCATGAAAAAGAATCACATTTACAACAATCAAACTATACATAAGTGAGTAAAATAGATTACAACACACACAAAAAACAACAACAACAAACTTTTACTTAGTAAAATAAACTAAAACAAGTAATATCCCTGATGAATATTTTAAGATTCTCCCAGATTCGATCAATCTATAAACTGGTTTTGTCCTGCACTTTGGACCTTCTGCAGTAAGTGACTCATGCCAGAGGGGCTGTGGGGCTGTGCCATGGGCGTAACTATGTGCTGAACATTGGGGGGGTCAAGATCTCTGTCTAAATAAATAAATAAATCTGGGTAAATTCCCAGATGATTAAACATGCAACTGTTTTGCTGGTAATACCTGAAATGAGTAAAGAAAATCAACTTATTTATACCTATTTATGCAAGATAATTCATAATTTTATTGAGGGGGTTATATTGGTTGGGTCTGATTATTGGGGGGGTCATAACCTCCCTAACCCCCCTGGAAATTACACCCCTGGGTTGTGCTGACATTACAGTGTGGAGCTCTTTCTGACTCTTCTAATGCATTTGAACTTCCTTAACCGGTTGATACAAGTCATCATTCATTGTCATGTTAACATAGTGAGTCCATAAATACAACTTTTCATCTGTTTTGAGGTTCTGAATTCCTTTTGCATTTCGCTGTCCTGCAGACAATCATTCATGTGCAACAGTCAGCTTGTAGGAGTAGAGGTACAGCCAGGTGTAAACTTACATGTGAACTCGAGCCTGCTTAATCTTCCCAGCTGTATTCAGGGAATGTTACATTAATGTATTGAGATGTGAACATGAATCTACTGCACACAAGCCTTGCTGGAGACGACTGGATAATTGCAAACCATCTTGCCTGAGTTACATAACAAACATGCTTTATGGTTAATTACAGGGTTTGAAATGTTCATCGCAATTTGCATTTGTGCAGAATAAAATAACAGTTTTGCTCTACAGGAGACACCAGTGGAGGTGCCAGCGCCTGTTGTAGAAGTGCAGGTAAATGAAAGGCAACTTCTCACTCTTGGGGCTTTGTACTCTTTTAGGGAGTGGAATGGTCTTTTGAGCCTCTGATTACACCACGTACCCTCTTCCAAAGCTGTTTTTGTATGTAAAGATTCATTTCTATTTGCTTAGATTCAAAATGAGGTTGAACCTCAGGAGGCAGCAGCAGTGGGGGAAGAGCCTGTTGTAGAAGTGCAGGTAAATGAGCAAGAAGTGCTCAGGAATATTAATTCCTGATTTTCTTCACTCTGCAGGCACCTCTGCAATAATGTTGCCACACTTATATGGTACCATAACATTTCCCACATTTACTCTTTGTAATTCATCCATTTTTTAAATAATTGTATCGCATCACATCCCAAACTGTGCAGATTAAACAACCCCCATCATGGCACAAAATGAGTAAGATATAAGATTTAATGACTATCACTGTTTACGCTCTTCCAATTCAGGATATAACAAATAACTCTCCCTTTTCTGTAGATAAAGGAAGAGGTACCACAACCAGTGGTAGAAACTGAGGTAAATTAGTGGTGTTTAATGTTCTGGGAAAGCTTTTTTTCTTTTCTTATGTTTCTTTTAATAGTTAGGGGAGATGAGTGGCTATAGAATAACCATAAGAGCCACATTGATAATCACGCTATGTGTGAGGCCAAAGTACCAAGATGGCTGACTGAGCTTTAGCAGAAAGACTACAAGACGAGGAAGCAGCCTTGCAGCCTTGCACTGTTCAACCGTGACACAATCAACCTAGATATCTGGGGTTATGTGACTCTTCTTTTCTTACTTTCGTAAAGAATTAAAGTTTTCCCAAAATGTTTAACTAGTTGTTTCTTTAAAAGTGGACATCCTTGAAATGTAAAGTGAATATTGATGGGCTTTACCTTTTTCCTCTTTCTTCCTCTTTACAGATTTTGGCTTTTGCGCTTGACAATGTGGACTTCCTCACTAGTTCTTATCTTGATCTGATTATATGCTGTCTCTCTACTCTGATCACAGATATCTTTTTACTGCTTCACCTCCTCTTTCATGTCACAGATGGAAGCGCCTACTCTCACTCTGTCACCTAAATTGATGAGCATCCCTTTGATTTTTTTCCCTTTTTTTTTTTTAGTAAATATTCATGATACATATTTTTCTTTTTCCTGCTTTGGTTAAAGACGGTGGATTCCTCAAAAGCTGGCACCCAGGAGGCTGCTGCAAAACCAGAGCCGCCACCACCTGCTCAGGAAGAAAAGAAAAGCGCCTCAAAATCCCCGTTCCTTTCTTTCTTCAAGCCCCAAGTAAGAACCTATTCCCATAAACATTTATAAGATCTCTGAAAAGAAACAACTCTGAAATACATTAGGTATGAATTGTGGTGAAATTACAGAATGGTAAGTAACAGGTTAATGTGAATTTGAGGTACTATTAGATCACATGACCACAAAAGTCCAGGCAGCCTCCACAAGTGGAGTTCGGCTCCTCAGGAAAACTACTGGACTGGTAAATACATGGAATACGTTGCCTCTTGCAAACAGATGCATTATTAACCAGAGTAATTTCATCAATTACGTCTGGTATTAAAACATGCTCTAAACAACTTCTTTGCTAGAAGCCTTTTTCTCCATTTGCTGTTATCTTTGAGCATATGTCATCATCCCTCGTGATGTTGCGCATGATGTCGTGTCCTAACAGCAGATGTACATTTTAATCCCACTTCATGTGCCACCTCAAAGTCCATCTGCACTTAACGAGTGAAGTGTATGAGCCACCGGTGTGTGAATCTCCAGCCCGTCAAGGACTGAAATAATTGAATGCTTCATTATGTGGCGCGACACTTTTAGGCTGCTGAGCCCAAGAAGGTGACCCCAACCCCACCTGCAGCGGCGGAGGCAGCTCAAGCAGTTAAAGCCAAGGAGGAACCTAAAGTGGCAGCCAAGTCTTCAGAGCAAGCTGCAGATAACAAACCTGCTTCCGTGCCTTCCCAAGCTGGCGATGATGCAGCCTGTGTGCCCAAAAAACTGGAAAAGAGGAACTCCATTCAGCTATTCTTTAAAAATCTGGTAAGAAGAACCTTACTTTCCCCAGATATTAACATTAGAAACATGCACAATATCCTTATAAAATATTATCACTGCATAGTGCAAAGTATTTTTGTATTATCCCCACTAGATGGCAGCAGACACTTAAGGTGTATGCTCCACATTACTGAAAACAAAGCGGACTGATATAACACATCTGGAAATGCAGTTTAGTTATAGGACAGTTACCGTTACTTAAATGTAACAAATTTAGTCAGAGTCCAGTTTAATACATTTGATGCCTGTGAAAGAAATTAATAAAGTTTTTGTTTAACTAAAAAACAATTAAAGCTTATAAAAGACAAAAATTTTATAAAAATAGATATTGAACGAGTTGCATTTTCTAAAGACAAATTAAAGACACTGCAACAAAATGTGCCATTTTCTCCCTGCAAACTGTAGACTCAGAAACGTCCTTCTACAGACGCCGGAGTCCAGACAGAGCCACTGACCGCTGCTCAAGGAGCTGAGAAAGCCAAATGAGACCAGAAGCAACCCTTACGTTTTCCTGTACAGTCTCCTTCTCACTTGTACTCAGTCCTTCTTTTTCTCTCTTATCACCTTCTTGAATTCCCCGAGTTACTTTGATTACTTTGTTTTTTAATTGTTACTGCTTAAAAGTCACCATAGCAAAGGTAAGGTTTTGGAAGAATAAAGGAAAGTGGACAGAACAGTTAGCAGGGAGTTGAACTTGTGGAGATTTAAAATGGTCAGAGGTTGTTTGGACATATTTTTTGTCACATAAATGTGATGTGATAAAACGTTTTCTACAGACGTTCAAAATGACTTTTCTCTGTTTTGCAATCTAACATACTGGGCTTATGCAATATATAGTGCCATGCTTTGCCTTGAACAACTATTTTGTGTTAAATCGATAAAACTCAATGTCATATAGGTTCTATTTTTACACTTCACACCAGAGAATTCACGCAGTTAAGGTAATGCAGTGGTTAACATGAAGGACGTAGGTATGAGTCATAGAAATGCTCTTAATGGAGCTGGTCTAAGGAGTATTAAAGTTTATATAGCAGAGTGTGCTTACCAATTTTTGAACTCTATGCAAGTTATATGTGGACTAAAACAAAAAGGTACATGCCAGAACAGCTATCTTTTAGCTTATATGGGACATCACAATCTCTACTGATCTTTGGGGAGCTGATTGTAAATACTCAACAAATGCTTAAAAATGCATGCGAGGTATTGAAACGGTGTCTTTGTGCAAATGTGTCCTTGTGGTACGCTCTGCGTTACTCATAAATCACAACCGAGAAGCTTTTTATTTTGATTTTAGCACTTTGTCTCGCGTCAACTAACGAAAGTTTTCCGGCGTAAGTAAACTGTGTCAGGCGTATGTGCAATTAATGTGACGCTGTAGTTTGTCGTTATGTAGTGTGCATGTGAAACTCGAGCTATCCTGAAGACAATAAATGCAAATAAATATACCACATGCCTGTTTTGCTTCAGAGTTTTCATTTTTAATGTAAGCTATAAAAGCATGAGGAGCGTTATCGAGAATAATTGGATGTTCCAGCAATTTAAAAAAACAAAGAAGAAGATGACCAGGCAAGTCTGGCCAAAAAATAAATAAATAAAAGATGCCTCTATTGCGTGAGCAGTGTCATAGCAACCATTTTTATGCATATAAGAGTGCAGCAAAGGTGTAGCGTATCACTCTACTCCCAATCTGGGTGTTAAGCCAAATACTGTAAGTCTGACTCATGTTTGTAAAGATGTCTGACAAATCAAAGGAAAAACCTGATCCATTGACCCCTTTGGTGAGAGGATGTGTTGGTTGCATGGCAACATTTTTATATAGGGCAGAGACGGTGCAAATCATTATAAGATTATGGGGAGCCATCTCAACCCTTTATTATGATGAAATGCTTCTGCTGGGAGTGGCCTCTTCCAAGATGGCACCTCGAGCCACAAGTATGTACAAGAATTCAAATCGCATTCTGTGGCCTTCGCTGTCAACAGATCGGTTTCCATTTGAATGAGTGGTCTAACATGCTAGACAGCTGGCTAACGCGCCGCCATGGTCAAAAAAACAAGTTAGGGAGTGTGTTTTGGAAATGGTTTCCCTTTTTTGTTTGTTTTTCCTTTAATTTGTCACACACTTGTATATATTTGTAATGCCAACAAATAAATGTTTGTTAACTGGAGAAAAAGCAAATTAACCAGAGTAGAGGTCATATTTTTATTTTCGACAGACAGATGGCTGTTGGACATTACTGCTGAGTTTTAGTGTCTGTGAGGCGTACCTTGGAGATAGAAATTGTAAAATAAGATCTAAGGAATTTGATATTTCAGGTAAAGGAAGACCTCAAATCATCTTCTCCTTTTATGATGTAATTTCTATGATTGATGGCGTAGTGTGCAGTCTCTGGAAGGATGTGTTTTAGATAGAAGTGTCTGAGAACCACTATTCACCCACCATTAAGTGATGAGTCGCAGCCCCCGAAGGCATAACTCACACTGCTCCTTTGTTATCAATGAGGCACACTATTCTTGTATTACTGTCTATAATAGGTGTGATCATTTTAAATTGTGCATCAAAGTAATTGCCACGGCACTGAGGGAGAAAAAGTGAGGTACTGCTGCTTGCACAGCTTAAGACACGTGCTCCATTGTCTCTCCTTTCCCTGGAGGAATGTCTCAATTAAGATACACTGTGACGACTTTGCCAGCAGTTTTGTTTATGTGTGAAGAGCTCATTTTCATTAGCAAACAGAGTATAGTGTTGATGAATCTGGGAGGGAGGAGTTCTGACTGAGTTTTAATGAGACGGAAGTGAAGAAGAAAGCAAAACTACTCGCACATCTCGCTTAGATTACTAAAACTAATTGGAAGAGTGACTAAAAAGATGCCCTTACACAACACTTTAACTGGAAATCATAAGCAACTTTGTGGCCTTGCTAACAGTTCCAGATGTTTTAAACTTCCTTGTGCAGTTATTTAGAAATTTGCTCAGCCTTTTCTGTATTTAGCGACTTGGCAAATAACAGTGAAGATGATGATAACAGCTGCATGCCCCTACATGCAGCGTTCTGGGAGTGAGAGTTAAAGGAACTCTTTTTGCATACAGTTGGGAAAGTGATTGCGCGTCACAAGGACGAGTCGCTCCCTTTTTTTTTTCTTTTTTTTTTGCACAATCACATACGATAATGACCTAAAAAGGCTTATTAATAAAGAGATAGTTCCCAAGTATGGATTTAACAATGCATGGACTGTACACAGTGCAGCAGATTTTCTCAGCCACCATGTTGCTGCAGTTCATCCTAGGACAATGCATGTGACTGTGTGAGTGCACTGAGCTCAGAGGGGGTGAAACAGGGGAATAGTGGGAGGAGAGGCCTGATAGGAGGCCTCCTGTCAGCACTAATGTGCATCATGGCAGTGCTTGCTAGTAATATGGAATATCAGAGGTTAAAACTATTCTGGGTACTAATGAAAAGAAAAAAGGAAACCGTCATAACCGGTTTTGATCCCTTCACAAACTGATGGAATTTTTTTTTTACTTATAAGGAAAAAGCAAGCTAAATATCTCAATGTGTTTCCCCCTGCAGTGCTAACGGGGACAACACATGCATGTGCGTGTCTGTTAGGGAAGTTTTGTAACGCGGATGCTAGCAACTGTGTCTTTACATTTTTTGTTTGTTTGTTTTAGTCTTTTGAGGGGAAAATTAGATTATACTGCTGTAGGGATGCAAATGAGTGACGTAATCATGATCTGCCTTCAACTGAAAGATAAGTGTTCATCTTAAGAACAAGTTTACAGGCATACATTTAGACAAAAACACTTTAGCTTCTGTTTTTACACTTGGATACATCAAACTTTGTTCTAAGTTGGTAGAATGTGAGCACATTGTTACAGCTTTGGGATCATTTTGAGAGTAGAGATAATAAAAGATGCTCTTTGCATGTTATTATGTGTGCTTAACTTGCTAGAAAGTTGGGAATGCGCGCAAATACCACAGCTGTTGTGTGTCCAGGCTGCTAAGCTGGTTTTGCTTAGTTTTGTAAACAGAACAAATCAGTTTCAGTTTTAGGTGTGGTGCTCATAACGTATAATTTTATAGACGAGATGAAGCATTGCAGTCTGAATGACAAGAGACTGACGTGACTGACATCATTATAACTAATAACAAGAGAGTGTTACGTTTGCAAATACATACGTCACTATTACCATAATTTAAAAAGATTAAATTCTTTGCTTTTTTTTATCATTTGCATATATTTTTCCTGCACAGTTAATCAACAAATAATGTATATCCTTTGTGTCTTTTTTATGTGTAACTGTCATTTATGCACTTCACTAAGAGGTCATAGTGAAACAAAGAAAGGTCAGGAAAAAAAAAAGTCGTCAAAAGAGGTCACGCAGACAGCGGGGCACTAGCAGCAGGACAAAGAGACACTTCCTTCACCCAGTTTCTACAGTTTCTACACAGAAAAGACGGGTACTGTTTTCAGTATGAACTGTGAGAATTTCTGTTTGGCCACTGATACTTCTATGATCAACAGAACACAACAGCTGGTAGAACTGAATAAACGTTCGGGGTGATAAAGAAGCTTACGTATTATCAGTGTCTTTCAGAAGCGACACCAGGATTATGAAAGAACTCAGGCTGTGAATCTGAAGGAGAACAATGCGGTCAGCTGCTCCTGACACGTCAAGACAAAAAACAAGCCATCACAGCCGTCCCCAAGTCGCTGATCCAATTCCTGTTAGGATGTCTGCCCGCAGAATACATAATAATTCTCTAAAGTACTGCGCTTTTTTCTTACAGATACCCCTTCTTTAATTAGATTTAACTGCTTTTAGCTAAATGTTTTAATAAAGAAACTATCTGAGATAATGACTTCAAAAAAAATCTATTAGCATAATGTCAAACAATAGCGCAGAGTTAATTAAATCAGTTAAAAGTAAACAATGCTCGGCCACTTGTTGCTGTCATTGCCACTACAGATGATGAATGCTATTTAAATTATCATAGTAAATCAATGATAAAAGTTCCAGCCAGCTAAAGATATATTTGTAGGATTAGACACAAACAACCACTGCCTTAAGATAAAAGGCATTTCCCGTGATGGGCTACAACATCTTTTGGCAATTTCATCATCCTGAGGAATGATACTGCTGCTTCTGACTGATAGCTTTTCACAGAGGCTTTGTGGTTGCTGAACAATAGGAAATGACCGGGAGGCCTCGATGTGTCACATGTGGTGCCTTTGATTAACATACTAGCCTTGTTTGCATCAGGATCTCGGGGGAAGGCACGAGTACCTATAACTGAATCGTAGCACTGCGAGGGGAGAAAGTGTTTTTAGTTTAGGGTAAGCTACATATGTGAGTCTTACTAAAGAAAAAAATATGTTTGTTTTTTTTTTAATCAGTGAGCTGAGTTATTTATTAAGACAAAATAGAAATAAAAATAAGTTCATTGGTATCCTTGGAATGAGTGCAATTATCAAATCCACTGTTCAAACCAAACATTTTTATTAAGCATGTTTGCTAGGCTGGAAAACCACATGTTTATTTCATTATGAGAACAATATTCCCATATGGAAAAGATATATATAAATCTTATCAAGTTTTTATCTGTCTTGTATGAAACTTGTATGAAAAGCATACAAGAGTGAAAACACATATAAGATCCCTTGAAAAATTATATAATGAAACTTGTGTTATGTTTTGTATACTTACTAAAAAAATATATGAAAGTAATGAGAAAGTGGCCACTTTCATGAGTAAATCATATATGTTTTTACTATTTCTTTTCCATATGGGTTGGTTCAACCTGTTTGGTGACAGCAAGTGCTTGACAACAGCTTGTAATATAGGCAAAAGAGCAGGCTGCTTACAGCCAGTCCTTGGCTCATGTAAGAGCCATAGCTTAAGCAAATCGAGCACTGCAGTCTTTGTTCACTGTTTTTCAACTGGGAGTGGTTACTGATAAAGTTTTGTTTTCTTCCAGACATTGCTGCCATTGGGGGTGGGGGGGTCGTTGAGTGGGTCTGCATAATGAGTGTACACTGAAGTCAGCTGAATATCTTCATTGACTGATTAAGAGCTCATCAGTGTCTCTGCTTTTAAGAGTGGAGGAGGGGTTGATTTTACATAGGAGGGTGTGGAGGCTACTGTAGGTGAAGGTCTTTATCTCACAAGCACCAGTCTATTAATCTTAGGTGATTACACAATCCAACAGTAAATGTGTGCTGATTCTCTATTATTATTAACAGCAATATAGTATGTAACTAAAGGTTAAGGGTTTTCCTTCCATTTTTCTGTAAGATCAAATGTGTTTACATGCACCATCTCATGACTTTGTCAAAGGTATCTTTTGGGTGGCAACAACTCATATGGGATATAAAAGTGGGCTGTGCGCCTTGGTACGTTTTTGTGTCACCATATAGGAAGAACTTGAAATTTCTCATGACTCAACCAACCTGCTTCTGCAAAAAGAAAAAAAAAAAGCCTCATGTAACTGTGAAAAGTTTGAGGCACCCCTCCCCCAGCTCCACATGGTAGCTGGTGCATGACGTGCTGACTGGCTGCACTTTTAGGTAACTTAAAATGCAGCGTACACATCAAAGAGTGTTATATGGCGTCTATTCAGCGCACTCACTCTTACTCCGTGGAAGTTTAAAGCATCGTTAGACACATGATTGAACCGCTCGAAAAGCAAAGCGTGACAATAGACTTCACTGTAAGCGAATACGACTCTAATATTGGCCGTTTGAAGCACAAATGAAGCAGCTTACACGTTTAATAGTGAAAACACTGGGAATAAAAATAAAAAATAAAAACCTCACATGTGATGACTTGTAAGAAGCTCATTGTGGGCTAGAACAGTCAAATAAAATATGCCCTCATGCTTTATTGGCGTGTATGAGATAAGATGATTATGTGCACTAATCCCTCTCTGTTATACGTGACCACGTGATTGCCCTTTTTTGTGGTGGTGGTGGAGGGGGGGCTGCCGTGCACGCGCCCCATCTTCCCCTTGAGAAAAAGTTGAGCGCGCGCGCCCCGGATTTCAACAGCTGCAGCAGGGAGGACTCGCCAAGCCGAACAAATATGATTCACATTCAAACAATTGAATAGGTGAGCTGTCCACCAGCGACAACGCGTTGTGTGAAATGAAGAAGCAAACTCGAGCAAACACCCGAATTCCCTGAATTCAGTCGCTCGTAGTATCAGTATCAATATTAATCCGGAAATTCTGAGTTGGTAGGTATTGTTTGGTGAGTTTCTACAGTTTGCTCGAAGTCGAGGCAACAGAAAGTGTTGTTTGCTAACGTTGCTGTCGTTAAGAATGACCGAGGCTATGGGAGTAAAACTAGTTAGCGTTTTGTTATGCCACTCTCTCAATCTGGGTGAACTTTTGAAAGTGGCGTTGGAAAACAAACCGTAGGGGACAGCGTAAGTAGACACACACATTTAAAAAAAAAAAGTCGATAATGTTCTTTTTGTACCACAGTGTTGTCATGAAATAACGTCGTCGCCACTCGAGACGGGTTTGTGTCTGGATGTATTGATTTAAAATTCAGTCTTCCTCAGTCACAGACGCGGACAGGGCTGATAATTGATCTGAGTGTTTCCAAAATGAGTAACGAAGCCCTCGTGCTCGGCTTATGATGCACATATAGAAACGTAATAGCCAGTCTGTTAAATGCACCGACTTTATTGACGTTAGCTGGAAGTTCTCAACTGTTAACTGCGAGCATCGCCTCCGGGGTAAAATTACGTTCAAATCGGAGCTTTGCTTTCTTGAATAAGAAGGTGGCTAACGTTAACGCTTGCCTCCCGAAGCATGTGTGTACTTCAGAAAACCACACAGGATCATTAAGAGTTTACTGTGCTCACCTGGTCTAAAGCAAAAGTACCACACAGCAAACTAATTCCAGATAAATTGGTTATGAATAGCCTTGATGTATAATATATATATGTGTGTGCATGTATTATATAAAACTGAAAATAAAACCATTTATCATTGGTTTGAATGACTTGAAACCTACAGTTGGGACTTCCCCTTTATCCACTCATTTGTGGGTTTTTTGTTTTGTAGCCATATACTGAAAACTTGATTTAAAGGTAACAGTTAAAAATGTGTGAAAAGGGGGGGGGGGGGGGGGGGTCTTTGATGCTACAGTAGACAGCTATAGGTATTGCTGGTGCCACAGCCTTGATTAGCATTTTGCATGGGCCTTGAGCATTTTGTCCTTGCTGAACCAGTTACTCCACTTCTCCACCAATCAAAGAGCTAAGCAGTTCGAGCCTTCCCCAATATAAGCAGTTCAGTATACAAGCTGAAACCACTACACAGAGAAACCACAGTGTCTTTTGTCACTGATGCCTGAAGAAAAGGATATGCTGGGATTTGTGAGTAAAGATTTTAGAGTTTTCAAAAATAGTTTAACAACTTGAAATTCTTAGACTTTTGCTGGGATGTTGCTTTTTATGTTGTTGACTATAAGTTAATCTATGCCTGTAGATTGTATTTTAACACTACATGTTTAGTATGATTAGTTAAAGTAGTTGTCGTGTTTAGTTAGAAACAAAAGAGAAGCAAAGGTTTGTTACATTTAGGGGAAAAAATGAAAAAAACAATGACCTTACTTAATCATCTTGCTTTCTAGAAGTATATATTTTAAGTTAATGTTAGTCATATTAAGCTTAGACACAGAGGCGTAAATTCTAAATTAATTTAAATAATGTTTGCGAGCACAAAAAAAGACTGTTTTGTCATTGGCCTGCACATAGAGGAAATGACTTGTCTGTGTAGTTGATTGCTAAAAAAGATACATTTCCTGTTTCAGTGTAAGGAAAGGCAATTCTCTCTGGTGTTTTTTCAAACAGATTTTATGATAACGTAGGTGTTTCAGTTACCTGATCCTGTTTTGATTTTTGAGCAAAGCCTAAAAAAAACACTTTTCCCATTCTTTCCAGGCTCCTAATAATCTGGACTGCTTGTAAAACATTAGGAGAAAATGCCGACTCATTCATTGCTGCCGTTTGTAAATCGCCCAGATGGACTTGCCCAAGATATTCTTATTAGTAAAGATGCAAGCATCCCAGGGTTGGGCTCTAGCATGACGCCACACACTACTTACCCAGAAAAGACTGAGTTGCAAAATGAAGAAAGTGCACCGCTGTACTGTATGTTCTGCGAGGAGACTTTCGCTCATCAGGATGAGCTTGGCCCCCACGTGTTAACACAGCACCCCACCACATTCTCCGAGCCTACTGTGCTTCGGGTTGAAGCAGAATTCAGGATCCCAGGAGAGAGACCCCGGGCCAAACAAAGCAGCCTTCCTGCCGAAAAAGACGAGGTTCACAGCTGTATCCTGTGTGGTCACGTATCCCAAGATGGCAGCGAGCTTGAGGCCCACATGAGAAAGCACAAGGACTACTTTACTTATTGTTGCAATTTTTGTGGGCGTCGGTTTAGAGAGCACTGGTTCCTCAAGAACCACATGAAAAAGCATGTAAAAGCAGGAGCAAAGAACAAGACCCAGCAAGACCCAGAAAGCCCAATCACAATTAATGGTATCATCCAAGAGCCTCCATCAGAGCCTGTAGGCACCGCATACAAAATGTGCATGGTTTGTGGGTTTTTCTTTCCTGACCATGATAGTTTGGTTGAACACAGTAAAATGCATAATCGAGAGGCACAGCCTGGAAAAGATAAAAGCAAGGATAATATGGGTGATACTAATGAACCCACTGCCAACCAGGATTCATTTCTTCAGTTCCTAAACCTTCAGCCTCGCCCCGCAGGAAAGGATGTGGAACCTGTGAGATCATCAAAATGGATTCCCCAGCTAGATCCTGTCAACACATATCAGGCCTGGCAGCTTGCTACAAAAGGCAAGATCGCAGTTGGGCCTAATAATACAAAAGATGTTGGCCAGGAAAACAGCACGGACAATGACGAATCTGGCTCTGACAAGGAGGAGTTGAATAATATTTGGACTGAGGGCCAAGGAGACAAGGCCGTGAAAGAAGTTGGAAGAGAGCTCCGGTCTCAGCAACAGGCCCCTGTTAAAAGCCCAGACCCACAGCGAAGGTCTCCAGTTCAGAAAGATAAGGACAAACAAAGGCCAACGACTTGTGAGGAATGTCAAAGAAATTTCAGGACCTACCACCAGCTGGTGCTCCACTCCAGGGTCCACAAGCGTGAGAGAGGAGGTGAAGAAAGTCCAACCTCATCTGTTGATGGCAAGCTTTCAAGAGCAGGCTCACTGGAAAATACAGAGGAAGGGTCTGAGGAGGGCATAGAGGAAAACTTGGGTTCAGGTAAGTCTGTTTTTCTGTATACACTCAGATTATCTTATCTGTGGTGTAGTAATTGTTTGTTACCAAGGGCTCCCTCTGCTGAGGGGACGGATAATAACACATGCCTTTTGCGGCCATTGTTCTGTCCTTTGTGTGTTGTGTTAATATTTAGATTTTTGTTTGTTTTCAAAGGTGAAGATGGATTTGACCGATCCAATGGCAGATCAAAAGACTGCAGTTACTGTGGCAAAACCTTCAGATCCAGCTACTACCTCACCGTTCATTTGAGGACTCACACAGGTAAATTCACGACAAATGATTATAAATTATCCTAAAAATAAACTGACCTTAAAGTCTGACTTATGTTATGTTTATGCAAAACTATTTGTTCCAGGTGAGAAACCATTTAAGTGTGCTTACTGCGAGTACGCTGCGGCCCAGAAAACTTCACTGAAATATCACCTGGATCGACGCCACAAGGATAAGCCCTACGTGGAGATCCCCAGCAGACCTGTGCCTTTAGTGCCCTCACCCAGTGATGGAAAAAATGAAAACAATGCTGAAAATCCTGCGCCCAAGAAATCCTGGGTGCCTCCAGCCATGCCGTGCATCGATGGAACACCAGAAAGCGGACTGGATAGTGTTGATGGCAAGCTTGGCAAGCCACTTGTCCAAGTAAATGCTGTGCCTGCCTGCTCTCCGGAAGATGACGCGCTCGCCAAGTGCTCTGCGCCTGTTAACCTGAAGAAAAAAAGGGAGGAGGTGCAAGAAGAGAACTGTGAGGCCCCATTAAATCTGTCCATAAAAGTCTCTGTCTCCACACCTGTCAGTGTTGAACCAAGAAATGGTATTGTTCCAATTGCCTGCCCATTTTGTGCTTATAAAACCATCTACCCAGAAGTTCTGATTATGCATAAAAAGCTCTCTCACAAAGACAAGTCAAACAGCACCAAAAAGAATGGGTTCGGAGGCAATTTAAGTGAAAGTCGTCATACGGGTTGCCCGCCTGCCCTCAATGGGAAAGATGTTTCCTCAGTTCTGATCACTGAGAGGATCTTCCCTCGCCGAACCAAATCTCCACCTCCCCAACCTGCAAAACCTCAAGAAAAAGCACCTGTTAACCTACCGCACGTTCCTAAGCCATCCCCTGTCCATGCACCCATAAAAGATGTCCAGGAGACCCAGCGTTACAGGCAGGGCACCGACTCACATCCCAGTCAGGAATCCTCCAGGTATACGGAGCTAATGAGAAAAAACAGCACAACCAACAAATATATCATGGACAGAGTGGGCATTGGCGATCGGAGCTACCCAGTACGAAGCGGTGTCCTTTGGCACACAGATGCCGCCAGGCTCTGCCTATCCAGCCGATTTGGAAGCCTCCCCCAGATGGACTTTGGCGAGCCGTCCAGCAAGCGATTAAAGTTTTCTGTGCCTACAAACAGGGATGCTGAAGCTGGCGAGAAGGCTGCTTTTAGAGGGCTACCAGCAGATGGATCTAACAGGATGTTTACTAAAAGAACTGTGAAACCCACACAGCAAGGGTCATGTCCACCCACAGCCTCTGAGGTTTCTGTTTTGGGTCCGGCAAAGAATGCACCTGTGACTATTGGAGGCAGTTTGGAGTCTGAGTGGAACATGATGAACCTTCTCCGCTCCTATCCACCCCATGACCTGGCATCTCTCTATCACACCAACCCAGCAAACCCCAGTCATGTAGGACTAGCCAACCCAGGAGCAGGTAAGCATTAGACTTGCAGTTTCAGTAGAGTGACATATAAATTTCTTTGGATATTTGGCTATTTTGTATCTGCATATTCTGATACTTTGAAGAGTTAATGTTTTTTTTTTTTGTTTGTTTGTTTTCTCAGGGGGCAGAAGTGTGCTGTTCCAACATCTGCCCAGTCTACCCAGCCTGCAAAGAAGAGATGTTTCAGGTCCATTCCCCAGTCAACGCTGTGGGGCCACTGACAAAAGTGCCTAAAGTAAAAAGAAATAAAGAAAAGGTTGAAAACTTTCATTTAAAAAAAACCTGACGAGAATTTTTGAAAATGACATTGAACTTCATATAGTTGAATCAAATCCTTTTTTTGTCCTTCTAGATGTAAACAGTGCTGCTGCCTTATTTTGGAGAATTTCTAGAAACGTTGTTTAATGTACATATTTAGAAAGAGAGGTAGTTTATGCTCACAGTGTGCTTATCCTCTCTTAATTTAATGTTTCTTTTTCAACAGAAAAACATTTGTGTTATATGGACATTTCAGGGCTACAGTTTCAGCAGAAGTTCCTTTTTTGAATGCAAAGATGCAGATAACCGTTGAGGTTTTTTTTGTATATAGTCCACTGGTGTGCACTGTAATATTTCTTTTTGAGACTGTTGATAAATCTGTACATGACCCACACTAATATTCCAGAGTCTGTCTTAGCTGTAAAAGTTGTGTGTGTGGGGTGGCGTAAAAACCTCTCTACATAAACTGTGTTATGCTAAAACCTAAGAAAAACCTGTGTGGGGAAAAAAAAAATGCTGCTCTGTGTAATTGCTGCACTGCACTGGATGGTGGGGAGTTTCTGTCGGATAACTTGATGGCTTCGGCCCAGTTGTTTACAAACAGGCCACAGCAGCGAGCTCTGCTGTGTGTTTCAAGTTCTACCTCAAGTTGTGCTCTGAAGGCTTATTTTTGTAAAGCCTTTGAAGCTATCATGTTAGCTGAGCCTATATACCTACTTCGACCAGAGACTGGTGTTTTGAGTTGTAGTAATAGTAGTAGTACATGGACAAGTGACACTGGACTACTACTGCTGCAACTGTTTTTTTTTTTTTTGACCTATACCACAATTTGGGCTGTACATTAATTTTGATGAACTCGCTATCTACAAGTATTGTTATTTTCCTTCTTGAAAAGCAAAAAGGTGCTTAAGTGGTGCCTCACATCCGTCAGCTGTAAAATGTACCAGATTGTGTGTAATTTTCTGGGTTTGTGTGAAATAGTCATTCAGTGTTATTTGGTTACTGTACATTTAGCCGCTCGTATGTTCGGGAGTTTGCTTTTGCTATGCAAAGTCTTGAAAGTGTTTCTTTTGTCAAGGGGCAGCAGTCACTGCCAGCTGGATGTCAAGGAGCGTTTAAGGTGTCGTGATTGTGCAGTTTTAGGGGAGACAAAAAATGCAAAAGCAGCGATGTTGATTGGTCCAATTAACTTAATGCTAAAGAGGGAAGAAAGACTCAGGTTAATTCAATTTTACATGCTGGGTAGTGTTTGGTATAATTTTGAAAAGCCTTTTTTAAATTATTTCTTTCTTTTTTTTTTTTTTGTTCGGCGTTCACATTATTGGTGTGTTTATATATTGTTAAGTATTGTTTTGAAATTTTTGATGGCACGTTTCAACAATAAAGTGAGAGGCGAAGAACAAAAGTATATGTGTGTTGTATTTAAGCTGAACCATAATGAACCTAGGATCACCTTTCTTAACCTCCTGAGACCCGTTTTTCTAATCTCTCCTAGCTATTTAGGATTAGTTGGACCTGATTAGACTTGTCCCCATAGAGGACAATGGTTTTATATTACAGCATAACATGGCATGGTGGCAATTGATTAAAAAATATAAAAACACAGAATATAAAGTATAAGGTGCAAAGCAAAATGTAATGTTGCCATATGAGGACACAAAGTTAAGAAATAAAGTCATACTTGGTTACAGTGTAGCACATTGTTAACGGACTCAAGGCACCAGTTATACAGCTATGTTCATAACATTTGGGGGATGTAGGGTAAGGACCTCCAGCTATATTATAAAATATATATATGCTTTATATATGCATATATTTAGCAATATACCGAAACCAAGAGATGCAGTGGTTCACGGTCATAACAATAATCTGCTTTCTTTAACTTGCACCTGGGGTTCTAGCTTCCTTTAATGACATCTTTAATACCTGATTACACAGACACAGAGAAAGATAAATTCGGTAATATCTGTTCTAATTAAATTATCAGTGGACTGTAATATTCCAATAACTCGATTACCATTTCAGGCTATTAGTCCTCCAGAATCTCCAAATATAGGCAACAAGTATTGGTTTTCTTATGTTATATTACAACATAAGAAAACAATTTTTTGTTGGAGTATTTGTGATTAGTAAACTGTGTTTAGTTTTTGCATTTGACAGCAGATTATGTGGGCTATACTCGATTTTTCAATCAATTACTCCAATCGACCACTAGAGAGCAGTATTTACAAAGTCAAGATTATAGTCTCGTCAGATTCAGGTTTCACAGCCTTAAAACGTCCAGACCTTTGTAGTGCATTTATAAAACTTCACACCTTGACCACACTGAGAATAGAATTAATAAAATCATACTGTCAGTTACATACTGCTATAAGCCCTAATACTGAATAGTTCTTAAAATAGGCGATATTGTATTAAATTTAAATGTTTACATAAATAAAAAATAAACAAAAACACATGCACTCCTCTGTTTAAACCTGTAGTGAGAAGAATGCCACGCTTGGGGATACACCTGTAATTGATAATGTCACACAGGTGTTGCACATTAGTTATCAAAGACAACACATCTGCCATGACATCATTGATTGTAATTGAATGACTCAAACAGCAGTGCACCCAGATTATATTCCCCGAACATCAAGTCCTTAAGAAAAGAAAACTGCTTCAGAGAAGTTGGTTAATGGCTCCTACATCTGCAGAGACATCAGCGCACTATTGTTTCACATCTATAAAAGACTGACAAAACCTATCACTGCTTTTCTTTCTGTAAACAACAAATTGCAAAGGACAATCTTCAGCACATTGAACACTTTAAACTTTGATTTTTTTTTTGTCCCCCTCCTCCCCTTTTGAGTAGACCACATCTGTTTGCTGTCTGTTCCCCTGGGCCAGCACTGTGTAATCTATTGCATTAGCTCACATTAGTGCATATCGCCCATGGGCCTTGGTAATCACAAACGCAAAATGAGCATTTCACTTAGCATCACCCTCATATTCCCTCACACTGTGGCAAACTTAGTGCAAACGCTTGGCAGAGAACGCAAGTCGACAACAGCTTATGACATCCATCCCGTTACACTCGATCCCCGTGTCCAGAATGCTGCGAGGGCTTTCATGTCAAAAGCTCCTTTAATAGGCAAAGATACATGTTGAATTTTCCTTCTGTTTACTTCCTCCTCTGTATTGTTTCTTTGTGATTTGGAGCCCTCGAGAGACGTCATTTCTGAGCGTTCCTGCCAGAAATTTTGTCTTTATCATAACATATGTGTTCGTGTTTTGCAGGCCTTTCATGATACTGCACCCTTTGTATGGTCTACATTAAAGATGCAATGATGCAGTGTCACGAAAGAAGGTCGAAAGGCCTAAAATAATGTTGCTTTAATAAAACAATTTAGAGTAACAGAGATCAAGGACACAATGCTTCACTCAGGTTAGTTACAGAAAACAGATTTCAGTGAAGTTATTAGAACACAGGGTTTTATTTAATCCACAAACGCTGCGATTTTTCCAGTTATGCACCGACCCAAGAAAATACCCAGGTTTCAGGCAAATTCACCCGGGATTGCTCTGGTTCATAATTCTTTGGCATAAAACACCTGATGTCTTCACGGCTTCTTATCAAGTTTTTTTCATCACATTAGCTTTTGTGTGATAAGGATTCCCACAGCAGCCATTTTATTGCACAAGTCAACACACAAATGGCATTTTATGCTTGCATTGCTCCTCATTCATCTGTTCAGAGTGTTTGGTTTTACAAGAGGTGATGTTTAAGACTTGGATACGTTCATCTGTGACTGACGATGTGCCGAGCAATTTAAACCCTTTTCTCTCCAGTTTTCTCTCTAGACTATCAAATTTCCTACCTCCCTCCATTCTTGCAAAGTAAACTTCATGTTTTTATCCCCCTTAAGTGCTCTCTCCTCTTATTTTCACTTCTTTCATCACTCATAATTGTTGCCTCCAGATTGTCAACTTGCATGAATTAGCAATTGGGCCAACAAAGCAGATATGGTCAATTGTTGAGTATCCTGTCAGAATTTGAGGCTGAAAGTCTGCTCTCGCTGTGATCGCTCATCATCGTCACCCCATTCCTCTGAGGAAGAGGAGCAATGTAATGGTTCCCACAAAAACAGCCCCTGGCCTAAGGAAAGGGATTTGGGTGTCTAGAGACAACAGGGGCCATATGGAGCGGGCTGAGATAGCAAGGCACATGTACAGAATAATGGATGATGTGTCATGTTTCATGTTGCAGGGAAGCCATCAAGAGAGTTGGGTTTGGGAAATCAAAAGGCTCACGTACAGGAAAAGCGACTGTTGGACCATTTAGCATTTTTGTTTATTTTCTGAACGTGTAGGCTTGAAAAATGCGGTGTTCTATTTCCAATGCCTGTGGTCTGCTGATGTTATTTATAACTAAAATAATAATTGTGATTTTTTTAAGGGGGGTATATGTAGCCTTGTATGCAGTATTAAAGCAGATGACCTTACGAATATAATGAGCCAACCACCTGTTTACTAAAACTAAGAAATATACTCTCTGAAGCAGCGATTCAATTAAGACTAGATTTGTAAAACAGATGAAACCAAATTTGTACACATTGTATTTATCCTGCTTAGTGGGTGGCAATGTCAGACAGGCACTTAATGCTGACAGGAATATTTAATCAAATCATGGTCTCCTGAGGATAAATCACATATACTTTAGTGATCCCTTTACTTTTCATCTAGCGCCATCAGGAGGCTGATGAGCAGTATTTTGGTTTGGTCTGGACAAAATACCTGCAAATTTGACAAGACCACCAATCTGGGAGCACAGACTGTATATAAATGATGGATGCAATTACTGTGGCAGCACCTTTTGGTTGTTTTAAAGTTTAAACATTATTATGTGTCATGTTGTTATTTTAAAGCCAGGCAAACAGGAGACACAAGTGATCATATTTGGGGCCCCAAAAGCCTCTAATATGATTTCAGGTAGCTAATGCTAACTTAGCGCTGCTCCGAATGATTTCACCACACAGAGACACATACCTGGTAAAAATAAGAGAATTAAAATTTCACTGACCAAATCTGAATTACGAGTGTTCTTGACGAGCTGTTAGTATAATCTATCACACAGCAAACCATGTTATTTGTCAAAAACATGACACAGAGATCATAGCACAACAGGGTCAAGCTATCATTTTTATTGGTGGAAGTGAAGCTAGCAGACAGCAGTTTGCATCCTCAACCACCTGTTAGTCAAAGTAGCCACGCCCCTAACGTTAACGCTGTAAATTGTATAATTTACTGGCAGGTGCATAACCTCAGTGAGTTACTAGAAATATAATTTATTTTATAAGTTACTATAAACAGTGTTTACAGTAACTTTTATTTCATTTCATTTTTGCAAGAATAGAAATCTTGATGTGATTTTATTCAAGGTAAAGTTACTGTAGGTGAAATTACAGTAAGATTAATGTTACTGTAAATGAAACTGCAACTTTATTTACTATAATTACTGTAAAGTTACAGTAAAATGGCCTGCATTTGTATAGCGCTTTTCTAATCCCTAAGGACCCCAAGCTACATCTTAGCCACAGCTGCCCTGGGGCGCACTGACAGAGGCGAGGCTGCCGGACACTGGCGCCACCGGGCCCTCTGACCACCACCAGTAGGCAATCAGCAACTTATAGGCATCCATTACTGGCTATTTACTGTATTTTCATTTATGTTGTTATAGTTTTATGATTGATTTTTTTGTAGTTAGCAATAGAAGTGTTTATTTTCTATTTGCATCTCTACCTGTAGGAAAAGACGCTGAAGTTAAGCACTATAAGCCAGCGGTCCCCAACCTTTTTTGCGCTACGGGTCCGTGAATGGTTTGGTATTGGCCCACGAGAGTTGAGGCTCGGGTGTGAAATTTATGGTTTATGGTTTTTATCATTATTTTTTTTATCGTTTTTATCATTAACTCAGTTTCCCTGGGTGTTTTCCTGTGTGTTGTGAATAAATCTTTTTTTTTTTGGTACCGGTACTGGTTTTATTTTGTTGTATTTATCCACGACGCCATAAAGACCGGTCCGTGAAAATATTGTCGGACATAAACCGGTCCGTGGTGCAAAAAAGGTTAGGGAACGCTGCTATAAGCCATATTTCAAATAAATGAATAAAAACAGTTGTTGAACATTTGAATGCAAGGGCCTACAGAGATTAACCTGCTATTTTGAGCCTTCAGGGAACATTCAAAGTTTTTGACCTTTCTGGGAACACATCAAGTGATTTAGTCAAACTTAAGATATTCATTATATATATGTATATATATTCTTTCTTTTGCTTGCCATATGAACTGTTTCCTTCCATGCAAGCAAAACCTGTAAATGTAATTGGTCAACAAAGCCAAGACTACAGCCAGGCTGCTAACAG